ATCCACCCATCTCAGCCTCCCAAAGTGCCGGGATTACAGATGTGAGCCATCGCACCTGGCCACACATGTTGTTCTTAAACTATAGATCATACATCTTGAACAAATAACAGTTGTTTTTCTTTTCTTTCTCTTGAGACAGAGTTTCTCTCTTGTTGCCCAGGCTGGAGTACAGTGGCACGATCATGGTTCACTGCAATCTCCACCTCCCAGGTTCAAGTGATTCTCCTGCCTCAGCCTCCCAAGTAGCTAGGATTACAGGCATGCACTACTACACCTGGCTAATTTCGTATTTTTAGTAGAAATGGGGTTTCATCATGTTGGCCAGGCTGGTCTCAAACTCCTGACCTCAAGTGATCCATCCTCCTCGGCCTCCCAAAGTGGTGTGATTACAGGCGTGAGCCACCATGCCTGGCCTTGCAGTTGTTTTTCTGAACCCCAAACAACACGACTTTATATTTATTATTATTATTTATTATTATTATTATTTTTGAGATGGAGACTCACTCCGTTGCCTAGGCTGGCGTGCAGTGGTGGGATCTCAGGTCACTGAAACCTCTGCCTCCCAAGTTCAAGTGATTCTCCTGCCTCAGCCTCCTGAGCACCTGAGATTACAGGCACCCACCACCACGCCTGGCTAATTTTTTTTGCATTTTTAGTAGAGATGGGGTTTCACCATGTTGGCCTCAAACTCCTAACCTCAAGTGATCTGCCTGCCTCAGCCTCCCGAAGTAGTGGGATTACTGGTGTGAGCCACTGCACCTGGCCACAGTTTTGCTTTTTATGAAGATAGAGATGGGGTCTTGCTGTATTGCCCAGGCTGGGCTCAACTCCTAGGCCTAAGCAAACCTCCCATCTTGGCCTCCCAAGGTGCTTGCTGGGATTACAGGCATGAATGACTTTATATTTAATGTCTCCTTGTATTTCTGCCACTGGAAGGTGGTGATGGGGACTAGAATCCTCTGGCCTCTGCCAGTGACTGGGGGATGTTCATGACAACCTCTGTTTCTCACTGCCCTCCATCTCCACATGGCTCACCCTTTTACTTCTTTCTGATCTCTGCTCAAATTTCATTTCTATTCCTAACTCAGGACTACCAGACACCATCTAGATGTACTCTTTTATGTGTGCCTTGTCCATCTTCTTGCTAAAATATTAGTTCTGGAAGAGAAGGGGCCTCTGTCTTGCTCACTGTTCTATCCTCAGCACCTTGAGTAGTTCCTGGCATTACAGTTGGCACTCATTAAATATTTGTTGAATGAATGAATGAATGTGTTTCTCTCAGATCTACTGAGTACCATATTCTGTATGCTAGGCACAAGGAGGTTGATAATAAAAGTGCCAGGGTATCAGTGCTGAAAAAACTCAGCTTACAGAAAGGGGATAAAGAACCGCAGGGTTACTTGGCCAGGCATGGTGCCTCATGCCTGTAATCCCAACACTTTGGGAGGCC